GTGCCTGTGTCCAGCTGTGGCTCCCGGCAGCCTGGGAGGTTCCCAGGCAGGATAAAGAGACCACCTCCCCACTCCTTCCCGAGCCCGGAGCCCCCACAATTCCCACCCGTGCCTCCACCTCACATTGCCTGGCCAGCTTTCGGGAGCTCAGAGATGTTCACTGCAGCGTTGTTTACAACAGGGAAACAGGGAAACCGGCCAGCGTGTTGCTGTCAGCCCCACGAGGAAACGACAGTTGCTAAAGAGAACCCAGGATGGAGAGCGCTCGGGCCCACAGAGCGACACAGAGTGATGCTGGGGAGCGGCGGCCCCAGAACACCACATTCTCTGTTCTTCCTCCTAGGAGAATGGTACCAAGTGCTACTTTTGGAATCAAAAATGGACTTAAAAACGCACACACGTCTATTTCCCGTGGCTGAAACCACCTACATGTGGGGCGCCGGGGGCGCCTGGGTGGCTCAGATGGTTAAGCGTCTGCCTTCGCCTCGGGTCATGATCCCGGGGTCCTGGGATCGAGTCCCGCATCGGGCTCCTAGCTCAGCGGGAAGCCTGCTTCTCCCTCTGCCTCTCTCCCTGCTCATGCTCTCTCCCTCTCTCTGTATCTCAAATGAATAAATAAAAACTTAAAAAAAAATAAATTAAATAGAAACACCTACATGCACCAAATGGGCTAAAAAAACACCAAACGGGACCCGAGCCTCTTGAGGAGAACACCTCTGAGGCCACAGTCTCACCTCCATGTGGGCCGTGCTTGCTGCGCGGGAGAAGGACACACACGGGCATCACACAGGCCCGGGGAGGGGAGGGGGCCGGGCAGGGTCCCCCGTGAGGACACAGAGGTCTCCGGTGGCTTTTCCCGCCTGTGCGCCTGTGTGTGTCCAGGCCCTGGACCCACTGTCTCTACAGCAAAGGAGACAGAGGCCCAGGGACCCCAGTGCCCCCAACTCCTGCAGCCAGGGGGCCCCCCACCCATCAGTCCACTCCTCCGGTGCATGCTAGGCCCAGTCCCAGCTCTGACACCGACTCCGTGTCGCTGTGGGCAGGCGACTCACCACCCGTATCCCTCTCGGTCGGTGCAAGAAGAGCCCCCGGCTGCCCTTCCCTGTGGGATCAGGGGCATACAGGGACACAGGTGACAGGCTCGGTCTGCTTCCTGCACGGCCAGTGACAAGTCTCAGCTACAACAGTGCCCTCTACATCTCTGAGCTCACTGACACGTTACGCAGTGGACGGACGTCACCTTGAAAAGCAGGGGGAAATATCCCAGCATTCAACGCAAACCAAAACCACAGCGAGACGCACGCCACCCCACCGTGACTTCGGCAGCCAAGTCGTAATCACGGGTGCTGGCAAGGCCATGGAGAGGTTGGAGCCTCGTGCGGTCACGGGAAGGCAAACAGTACAGCCGCTGTGGGAAGTAGTCCCCGGTCCCCGAGAGGCCAATCACAGTGTTACCGCCCGACCCAGCGGTACCGCCCGACCTAGCTATGTGCCCACAAGAGCTGGAAACACTCGTCCACACAAAAGACATGCACACATGTTCATGGCAGCCCAACTCACAGCAGCCTGACTCACAGCAACCCTTCACAGCAACCCGACTCACGGTAGCCCGACTCACAGCAGCCTGACTCACAGCAACCCTTCACAACAACCCGACTCACAGCAACCCGACTCACAGCAACCCTTCAGAGCAACCCGACTCACAGCAACCCGACTCACGGCAGCCTGACTCACAGCAACCCTTCACAGCAACCCGACTCATGGCAACCCAACTCACAGCAGCCCGATTCACGTCAGTCCAAGGTAGAAGTGTCCATCAGCAGGTGAATGGACAAACAGAACGTGTCCCCTAGGCACAGGGGCGTCCCTCAGCTGTGAGCAGGAGCGAGGCGCCCACACACGCAGCCCCGGGGACGGACCCTGAGCCCATGACGCTCAGGGAGGGAACCAGACACAGGTGTGTGAGTCCACGTGGATGACACGTCCAGAACAGGCTCATCCGCGGACGGGAAGGGGGCTCGTGGGGGCCGGGGAGAGGGTGGGGTATTAGCTAAAAAATACATTTACAAAGGTTTATGTCTGAGGTGACATAATGTCGTAAAATAACCTGGTGATGGCTGCATAACTCTGTGAAAACACCAAAAACCACTGAATCTCACACTTTCAGTGGGTGAATTATGTGCTATGTGAGTCTGATCTCAGTAAAGGTGTTGAAAACAATCCCAAAGCTTGAGCTGTTGAGACCAAAGATCCATATTCTCTGAGGTTAAGGCCTGCTGGGAGGCGCACTTTCTAGAGCCCAGGCACAGCTGTGCTGGTGACCGGAAGCCACCAGGCTGTCACCGGGATGCCCCCGTCTGATTGATGCCAAGAGACTAAGATCCTAATCACTGCCCGCGACATGCCCGGTCCCCGGCCAGTGGCTCTAGACGTGCTGGCCTCCGTCCGTCCATGTCCCCAGGGCCCCACAGCACTGAGGCAGCAACGTTTCAAGGGAAGGTTCTGTGGCCACGAGCCTGCTGCTCCAGGTCCCTCCCCAGCCTGGCCGGCCCGAGACCTGTAGCCTATGGCGGAACTTCATGGCTATCGAGGGTTTGTAGGGGAAGTCGGCCCCAGGCCCTGCCAAGACTGGGGAGGAAGAGGCAGACATGGTGCCAAGTGGGCGGCTGGCCGGCTAGGCTGCCACGTGCCAGGAAGGCTGTGGGGAAGACGCCAGAGTCAACACAGCCCGACGTCTGCTGGGCGGGCTGGGCCCAGGACACTGCTGACACTGGCCACGCAGGTGCTTGGCCGCCTGGGCAGGAGGGCAGTGCCGGCAGCTGGCCCTGCCCCGAACGGGCAGGAAGAAGATCCCAGTACTGCAGGGCAGGCCCCCCCACCTGCTCAGAGCCTCCCTGGGCCCCCATTTTCTCAGAATCCAATCCTATCTCCTGCAGGGCCCAACCTGGCAGCATCTGGCCTCTACACACACACACACATGCCAATGTCAGTCCTGCCCCAGGGCCTTTGCCCAGGCCACTTTCTCTGCCAGGTGCACGGTCCGTCCTTCTGCGAGGCTCGACCCAAATGGCATATCCCGAGAGGCCTCTCCCCCCCACACCCCCCCCCCAGCTAAAGATGCCAGACCACATCTCCCTGACCGCCTCGGCAAGGCTGTCCGGTTACTCGGAGGCTGACCTCCACACACAGGGGAGCCACACATCTAGGAGGTGCTCGACAAGGTGCTGAGACTCTGTGCCTTTGGGTCCCCTGACTCCCTCTGGCTTCCGCTTCCCCACCCCTGGGCATCCCAGGCAAGTGGGACAATGGGTCCTGTGGCCCTTTGTTCCTGGCATGCCCAGGGGGCTTTGGGGTCTGGGCCTCTCAACCCCAGGCCTGGCCTGGCCTACCCCCAGGGGCTAAGGCCACTGAGCAGGGTTGGGGGCTTGTGGGTCCTCACAAGGACTGTGTGGCCCGGCAGGGGCCCTATAATGCAGGGGGCGGGGGGATCTGTCCAGCTCCAGCCCCCAAGCCCGTACTCCCCATACATACTCGGTGAACAAGTAAATATAACTTGCCCATCGTGGCCTGTGTGTTACTCTGAATCAGGGCGAGGCACTGGTGGCTCGGGTATCTCATCTGCAAAATGGGACGGGCAGGGACCCAGTCCTGAAGGGGAGAGACACTGAGGCAGGGGGCAGGGTGGGGCCGTCCCCCCACACCCACACTCAGCCTGGGGTCCACACGCAGGGGCGGAGCCTCCAGCAGGAGGGCGTGTGGGGGGCGCCGGCCACGGCCAGACAGGCCATGTCTGCTGGCTGTCGCCCAGCCCTCAGCACTGCCCCACCCAAGCCAGACACCTGGGCAGGCCCTGCCGTCTGGCCAGCTCCCCTGCTGCCTCCAGGCACTGTACTCTCACCACGGGAGCCCCTGCCCGGCCCCCTCGGCGTGTGTCCGGCCCGCTTCCCTGCTTTATCTGTCTTCAGCCTGACTCAAAGCTCTGAGGGCGGCCGGAGCCACGTGCTCTGCTCCCCAGGTGAGGCTCAGAGGGGAGGCCGGTGGCCCTCGGTCCCATCCCTCTGGAGGTCCCACACGCCAGGCGGGCCTCGAGAGCCCTCCAGGAGGGGCCCAGAGCCAGCTCTGGGAGGCCAGCATCCAGCGGGGGCCGCCCTGAGGCCACACACAGCCAGCTCCTGGCTCTCACACACGGGCCTGTCCACAGCCCGTGGAGACCTGGAAAACTCAGGCTACTAGGCCACTGGGCTGGGGAGGCCAGGTCCCCACCGGCCACTCCTGGAGGTCGGGGCAGGGCCCAGCTGGCCACGGACTGGAATGTGAGCCCGGCCGGACGCCATCTGGTTTCCATCTGCCCAGCCCAGCTCGGCCCAACTTCAAAGGGTCCCCCGCCCGGCCACTTCCTCTGCCCTGGCCGCCTGCAGGGAAGGCACCAGGACGGCCCTGCTTCCTCCCCGCCCCTCTGCAGCCCCAGGGAGCTTCTCGGCAGTCCACACCAACGTGGCCACCCCCTGCTCAACCAACTGCCGTGGCCTCTAACGACCAGACACCACACCAACTGACCAGGCCTCGGGTTCTCGTCCCCAAGCCCCCAGCTCTCTGCCCGCACGTCCACCCGCTGGGCCTCGCCCCCCACCCGTGGGCCCGTGCCAAGCCTGGGCCAGCGCGTGGCCTCTGCCTGGGCACCTCCCTCAGCCCAGAGTCCCGTTCCTGGCTGTCTGTCTGCGGGCCCTTCTGGGGCAGACACCGTGCAGCCCCCGCGCGTCTCCCTCCGGGGTCGGAACCGTGCAGCCCCCGCGCGTCTCCCTCCGGGGTCGGGACCGTGCAGC